ACGCTGCTCACGCAGGGATCCTACAGTAAGGTTAATCCTTACTGGACCTCAGAGAATACATACTGTCATTTACTCTTCAATCACAAAGTCATGGGAAACCAAGCTTCACTGGTTCCCCTGATCACTGAAATATTTACTGTCAGTCTGAGAGGGACGCTAGGCCTACATATGTATACAATGTCAGAATACTGAGTGCAGTGGAGGTATAACTATCTGCTTTGAGCCATATATATTCCGGGCAAATACACCTTGGATTATGCACCAGAACTGAAGCACAACACAGCAAAGCCAGCACAACCTACTGCATGCCATAGGAATGGGTGAAAAATTAACAGAATTGCTTGCCAATGAAAAAAATTATACATTTTTAAATCTTCTTACTTTGAAATGAGCCATAGAATAGGTCACATAATACATAATGGCAAAATGAATATATTATGAATGATTTATCGTTATGGAAATGCTCAGATGCTTATTGGTGACACAAGTCATATAACATGCAATTTTCACAGAATATGTTGTTAATAATGGATAAGGATTTATCAGTATATTCTTATATAAAGAAAGAGAAATATTAAAACTTGTTCTTTCACTGGAATCAAATAATGTAGTGTGCATTGAGTTGCTTATGAAATGGAGCTTCTCTTGCCATTACTACTAATTACATTTTAATGTCAAATTTTTAAAGTAGATATACATCAAGTCACTGCAGTAACTCATCACAGATCAGATCCACTTTACTGTTGTACCACTAAGCCAAAACAAATGCTCTTTCCTGTGCCTGCCTACACGAAATGAAGAGAAAAAAAGAATCAAGCGCTAGTCCTAGTTTGTAGCACGCACCTGCAGGAAAACTCGTAAAATTGGTCCTGCCTGTGAGGCTTGTTTCTCCTGTAGATGGGAGGGTTTGCTCCTATTTAACTGGGGAATTTTCAGAACAAAAGTTCAGTTTTGGTCAAGTCCTCTGAATAGCTTGACTGACGAGTGATGTAAGAGCAAGACAAAAAAAGTGTGGGACAAGAGGCTAGGAACTCAGAAGTTGTTTTCAACAATAATCAGAGCCCCCTCCCCTCCATATGCCTTAATCAGACCCTTTGTGGATCAAGCTGGAGCAGTTCAAGAATAGACAGCCCTCTTCTCTAACACTGTTTGTTGCCACCAACAAATGTGTCTTCCCTCCGCAAATAATTTTAATAGATCATGCCAGGATGTCTCAGCTGCCTCAGTTTGAAGTCTGCTGGGCCAGCTTATGCCACTACTGAAGATAGTCTAAACACAGCAGAATTTGCAGTCGCATTGATGAAGAGTGCTCACATTATCCATTCTGGTACTTGAGTGCTAGGGTCTGACAAGTCCTTCTTCAGGAAAGATAATGAACAACCATCGTAACTGCTTGACTTGAAATTTCCAAAGAGCTCTTGCTGTAGAGCCATCAAAGGCAAATTAATCCATAAGAAAGTACAAGGACGTACAACTCTCTGACTGCCTGGCATGCAAAACACCTGAAAATTTCACTTTATGTTGATTAGAAAATCAATATACATAGGAGATAAACTGAATGTCAAGAAAGCCTGATGTGGCTTAGACAACAGCAATATATTTTCCTCTTCTGTCCAGGGAAAACAGAATTTGTATTTGTGCCAAACAATGCAGGAGAGTTTTTGTATCTTGCCAATTCCATTTAATTTAGAAAGCAAATATCTTCACACAGTTAATTGAAAGACCATTGATCAAGAGAGATTCATAAACCAGCAGCTAGGTAAAAGGAAAGCCCAATGGTAAATGACCACATGTTAGATAGATATTAGTGCATGAATTACGTTCGTTATTGTCTTTATTGCTACCATAAAGAAAAGGAACTTGGAAAATCCATCTGTTCCCACAGATAGAAGCCCCCTGACATGAGGCTCCGGAGAGTCAGGAACCCGCACTTAGCCCTCAGTGAAAAGAGACAATTACTGCCCCTGACCTGCCAGAGCACTAAGAGGACATGGGCTCCTTTTAGAGGTCTTCTCCATTTACAACCTCCTTTTATTCCCTCTGTTTTCCAAAGACTTTGTCCCAGATTTGCAAATATCAAAATTTTGGTATCCCCAAAACTCCATTTCCCTGCCAAGAATGTTTATTATTTTCAAAAAAAGAAAAGTCACCTACTCTGAGAGGAGGACTAATACCAAGGCACTCTGAGGACAGATGATGCTTTCTTACTTCCTATATACATCTGTTCATGTATGAACATACAACCACTCTTCATGAATCATTACTGCTCCAGTATCTTTTCCCTCCCCATCTACCACATCTCACTCTAAAACAACACCTTGTAGAACAGTCTCAGAGAATGCAAAGGGGAAGCGTTGTCCTTTGAGACTATGCAGAACTGTGCTTATTCCCATCACACTTCACTTCTTCCAGCAGTTTTCTGAAGGAAGTGCCAGATCTTTGAACGCAACCTTTTCTGCTGTCAGCCAGGGCCAGAAGGATTACACACAGCAAAGAAACAAAGAGCAAATGAATGTAAATAATGTCTACAACAACAAGGGAAAGCAGCACACAAAAGCCAGTGACTAATTAGAATGCATTCTTTTCTCACAGGGGCTCCTAATTAGCTTACTAATACCATTCTCATCTATTTTAACAACTTAATGGTCTCCTGTCACATAAAAAATGGACCGAATATTTCACACCCGCTCCACCTAGAAAAGTTCACCTGAGAGAAACTGTTCCCTTTTCACTTCCAGCTCTGTCAATGGGATTTCCCCCTCCTACACACACTGTGCCAGGCAGGTTCACCTCAGATACCAGTAGCAAGCCACCTGCGTAGACACACCCTCCCAGCTCTCCCCACATAGCTGTGCTTCTAGATGTTACCTCTACATATGGCTCCCAGGTCAGCACTCTCATCTGGTTGACCCCTTAGTCTCAGCCCCACTGCCTTAGCTCAGCTGGCATGGCAAACCAATGCTCTGGTGTCCAAAAGTCTAGTGGCCCTTATCTCGGGCATGGGATTACTCCTGATCCCTGAACTCGTCTCCCAGCATTCAGAGAGCTCATGGGAGTAAATCCAGCACCTCTCTGATGCAGGTACACTATTTATCTGGAATCAATATAGGGAATGATGACAGGTGGGTGGGCAATGAAGCCAGTCTAAGAGAGCGGTGCTTCACGGGAATTACCAGGCAAGATCACACATGCTGCTTATCTAGGCCACTGTTTGCCAGAGAAAGTATAAAGGTCTGGTAGTAGGCATTGTGCAACATCTCCCCAGCCCCCTCAAGTCATCCTCTCCTCAAGAAGGCTTCAAATTCCCTCTAAAATTGCTTACTCTTGTCACCTTCAAGGAGACACCCCCAACACACTGTCCTACCCTAGATGATCCCCAGTAATTACAGGAGTTGGGGTATACAGGGACCATTCATTTACAGGGAATGGTGACAAGATGGTCCAAGCTTGGAGAACTGGGGCTTGCTGCTTCTCCTGCTATCGATAAGGATTAAACTGTGGGAGAGGGAAAGAAGGAGGAGCTGTTATTTCTCCTAAGGAAATCATTCACTGCAATTTATTTTTCTTCTTTTTTCACTTTAAGTGGCTCTAGTAAACAATTTAGGTGATAGGTTTAGTGCTTCCTGTTGTCTTGGTCAAGTTAGAGGTGCAGTCATGTCAGAGCAGTTTCCAACATACAACATACCACATACATGTGGTTCTCAGGAGTCCAAAAGGAGGTTTGAGTATCTTGTTAGTTCTAATACAAAGCCACTTAAGGCCTCCAGGATCTCAATTTCAGAGAATCTAAGGCAGAAATGACTCCATGCATGCCAGACAACTTTAAACCCAGAAAAACAGCCAACTTAATTCTAAAATGAGGTTACTTGCATATCCTTCAGCTCCACAGCGCAGTAATCACAGCAACATACTGTCAACAGATAAACAATCCATACTATCCATGCTGCCCACAGCATAAAACATGTTCTCTCGGGACAGCTTTGCCAGTGCTGTGATGGAACGGACATTTTACAACGCTGGTGTTGAACTGCAAAATAACTTGTCTAGAGTCCAGTTTTCCAGTATGAGTATTTACCATGTGCAATCAGATTTCTCCTTATACAGCTGATTTTAAGTATTAACATATGAGATTTAGGCAATCATTTAAAGAACTTAAGAATAACAAATGGAAGAACAACACAGTATGCTTTTCTTATGGCAGTCTGGCTCACCAGCCTATCTAGCAACCAATTCAATGTGTGCTTTAAGGACACATTTAATGTGCAGTCTGAATTCCCTTCTGGAACAGAACATGCACAGGCAGTCCAGTGCTTTCACTGCATGCAGGAAAGTGGCAGATGCCTTTTAAAACTTGCTGTTGGAAATTTGGCCTTAAGAATATAGATATAACATGACCTTTGAAATTTCTAAAAACTTAACTGATGGGCAGAATTTTAAAAACATGTTCTTAATTCAGTCTGAACACAAATTAACATGTTCAATTTAAAGCATAGACACTATGTACGTCAATAGATCTCACTGATGCTTAACATCTCTTACGACCTGATCAACCACTTCAGTAGACAGCACTTGATTTCAATGGGCCAAATGTCCCTAATTGTACATAACTATCAAAAAGCATGATATGGTCCAAAAGGACTACTTAAGCTGAAGAATCCTTATGAGAATGCTGATACAAAAGAATGAAACAAGGTGTTTTTGTCTACTAGTGATGGAACATTGTGGCTGTTATAAGTCCCTACTGTTATGGCTCTCAAATTCATCTAATTAAGACATACTTCACCAGAAGAAAATATTTATAAAGTCAGTGTGTCCCTAACAAGAAGCTATGTTAGTTAAAAAGGTTCACAAAAGAAATTCCCAACATTCTTCAAATACATTCAAATTACTTCCCTAATTAATATTAAGAATTAAAGCTTTTGAGACTGATGTCATAGGGAACAAAATCTTTTTGTTTTCTGATCATATAAAATGATGGCAGTTTTCTTTTCTGTACAGATTCTGAGGTCTCTAAGTAAGCTTAATTTGAGAAAAATGAAAGTCATTTCAACCAAGAAGTTTATTCTATTTGCTTTAGCTACAGTGGTCTTTCTAACATCGAATAGTATGTGCCTAGATGAACTGATGAAGTCCAGTCTGCAGAGCAGAGAAGACGATGATGATAAATATTATGAGGTAAGATCTGTATTACTATGGCATTATTCGGGGGAACTGTGGGTCAGATCCTGAGCACTGAGTTTTTTGGCAAAGGCTCTCCTAACTCATTGCGTGGTTTTCAGCATGACAGCACTAGCAGTATGAAAAAGGCTTGTTGAAAGAATTTTCAGGAAATTCATTTGCTCAGACAGACATACTGTGTAAATCAATTCATGTTTCAATTTTCTTGCAATACAGCCTTGTGATCAGGTTGACACTTTTTCTGAAATGTTTCTTACTTACACAGTGGGGCCTCAATTAACATTCCTGTCTGGCATTTTATGCACATAATATAACAGACACATTATTAATCCAAAATTAATAAAGGCATGCTTGTAATACTCAAAGAATAATGATAAACAGAGAACATTATAAATCTAATATAGTTAATGGTCTTAAAATTCTACTCTGGAAATTGACTATAAAAATATCTTTGCAGGATTGCCCATTTATTATGTCTCAATAGATGCCAAATCAAATTTGCACAGTTCATCTGTATTATTTTTCTTGTCTGCCCTGCAAATACTCCCTGGGAAATGAGAGCCAACCTCTCTTTTTGATTCATCATCATTGGTGTAATACAGATCCTTCAAACCAAAATACAACTTTAATTACGCTAGTGAAATCCTCTGGTCTTCAGCTCACTGTCTTTTATATACTTCAGAAGGAGTGTGCAGGTGCAACAGAGGGATGGTTTATTTAGTATTTTAATCATGGAGTATGAACTAGAATGGTTCATTCCCCTTCTCTCCCAGTAGCTGGAGAAGCTCCTGGGAGAGTCACCAAATGGGGATAAGGAACTGAAATTAGGATTAGTAGCATGTGTGTCTTTAGCTGAAATTAAAAAAACATATTTGTACATACTTGCTGTTAAGGCTTGGAATCTTAGTTTTGTTGCAAAAATAAGTGATTTTCAATATGCCCAGGGAAGGACCACTGCTATATAGGAAAGGGTCATGTTGATATAGCTATTTTTCAGGCAACAGCCGCCCTTTACATCAGGATACAGGTAATATACTAGGCTCAGTTCTTCACTGTATGCCATCGTAGACACAGAAAGTAGATTTTGTTCTGGTTGCACAAAAATTAGGAGCCCAGGAGCTCCTAATGCATCTTGTGTACTAGTGGAGGACTAAAGTAACTTAAAGCTCAGGGCAATCTCTTCAAGGCCAGAATAGGCATGATGTGGACTTGACCCAAATGCTTTCCATTCATTTCCCTAGCTGTTAGCCCGGCAGGATATTGGGTCAAAAGCATCCACCCACTGTTTAGGAAGAAATGAGCTACACCTTCAGGTAGCTTGGCCCATTCTCCTGTTCATCCAGACCAGATGAATAAGAGGCTGGGTCTGTGTCAAGTCACTAAATATAGTCAGCACCTTCCCCTCCAGACAGCTTCAGCTGGTGATATTAGCAAATATGGACCTGACAATGATTCCTGTCCACACTTAACTGACGGCACAGGTCCTGACACCTATGCCCAGAAATATTTCCAACTGACACCATTTGAACATTGTGGATACTGATATGGAGCTGTGCTCTTGTGGTCAGAGTACTGAAAAGGTAAGCAGGACAATGTCTGCCTATGAAGTAATCCACATGAAGTAGCTCACACTACAATGGAGTTTAGCAAATACAGCTAAAAAGCACTAGATATCCAAAAACGAGTGTTACCCAGCAGCTTTCTAAGGAGATGTGAAAATGAATGTTTTGTGTGATTGGTAGCTGGAGTAATGCCCTGTAAAATTATAGCATCCTTTTTTAAATTATTTTTCTTCAGATTAAAGATAATATCTTGGAAGAAAAGCAGAGGAGTCTCAATTTTGAAGAAATGAAAGACTGGGGATCAAAAAATATCATTAAAATGAACCCTCCTACAGTAAACAAGATGCCAAATTCAGTTGCTAATTTACCTCTTAGGTTTGGAAGAAATTATCCAGAAGAAAGAAGCATTAAACCAATTGCTAATTTGCCTCTGAGATTTGGGAGAGCTTTTGGAGACAACATACCTAGGCGTGCTCCAAAGGTATCACACAGGCTTGCGAGATCTCCACTTGTTAAAAGTTCCAGTCAGTCACTTCTAAATTTGCCACAGAGATTTGGGAAGTCACTGTCCATCAGTCTGTCTCAAGATGTTCAGGAATCTGAATCAGGTAATACTATGCAAGCATTCAAGCATATATTAAAATACATATTAAATCAGGTTAGCGATGATCAAATATAACCAGACTTCCTCAAGGGATATTCCCTAAGCATTTCAGTATGAGTCCAATTTGCCAAAAGAAAGATTTGCAGTTCATCAAATCAAAAAGTCTCATCACAAGAACTAGTAGAGAAACTCTTTATGAAATCTTTTCTAACAAGAAGATGCCAAATAGCCAAAGCCAAAAATGTTCATATGATAAGGTTTGACAACACTTTTTTAGATCAGGTTTTATTTTGAAAAGTTTAAAGCTTTGCAAAAAAGGTTCACACTCATTAAAATATCCCATTTCAGCACTATAAAATGACCAAACAAAACTACCTAAAAATTACTCTTCTATTTTCTAAATTTATGCAAATTACAGTTAAAAAAAGGACAAAAGTCCAAGCTGAATTGCAGCATTTTGAAAATGCTGGGGTTTTTCTCATCTGAACCTTTTTTTTTTTCCAAATTGTCTTACTGAGACAGTGTCTGAGATTTTGATTTTTCATTCCAAGTTAAGATGAAAAATTTTTTTTGCCATCTCAGAAATCTTTTCAGGATAGGAAAAATAATTTCCTGCTCATTACTAAGAATACTTTAAACCAGCTTTTCAATAACAGTCCTTCTTATCATATCTGCTTCTTTATCTGAACTATACATTTGTCTTGGAACCAAATTTCAGTTGCTACCACTGACTTGCATCTGACACATGCGTAAAGTAGAAGGTCAGGCCAGGGAAGATAACTGATATATCAGAAGTCAAGATTCTTTCTTATTTAATTTGATTCCTTTCATTCCTCTCTCACTGTCTCACCTGATTATAACAGATTATGCTTTATTTCTCTGATATTTTTAGGGATATGAATTTCAACAGTTATGTTAATACTGGAATGAAATCATGAAGACAGAAACTGGAAGACTTCGAAAAGCTGCAATGTATTTTCAAAACTAAAGGTCATGAAAAGGAAACATATGAGAACTGACATGCAAACTTGCCTTCATGTTATGAATAACGTATTTAGTCTGTACAAACCCTTGACGTATAAGGCAATGATAATAGTTGTGATTGTAGTAGTAGTTTACTTCGGTGGCAGTGCAGTATAAATTCTATTTACTTCTGTGCTACTTATGTCCTGTTGGATGTTAAACCTGATTTCAGAACAATGGCTGTATAATTGAAAGCAGCTTAAGCACAATTAAAAGCAGCATAGTATGAATAAAGAAGCATAGTACAAATAAAAAAAGCCTATGATGTGAATAACAAACAGAAGCAGGATCAAAACCACCAGTACCGTTTTTGTCATATGCAGAAAAAGAAAATCAAGTAAAATGTAGAGAAAGCACTTTTCCTGTTGTTTATGAGTCATGTTAGATATAAATCTGAAAGGCGACTTGTCAAGAATTTGCCACAAATAAAACCTAGCTTCTTGGACCCCCACAGAGGAATAACATCTAACCAAAGTCATACTGTAATGCAATTATCTTGGGTTTTATATCTGAGATAATGCCCTCCCTAATGTCCTACAAGATCTGCGCTGTGGGTGTCCCAATCCCTCTGTTAATGTGAATGACAGTATAGCTACCAGATACACACTTGGAAGGGGCTACTCCATCATAAGTCCATATTTCCATTTCCTATTTCTTATGAAAACCATTCCCTTCTAAGTGGAATATTGTGTGTTTAGGCTTCCTCCAAAACCGAGTTTTCGGTAAGCCGTGAAGAGAAGCTGAATTCACACCTGTTACAGGGAAGCCAAATCTGGTGGACTACAGGATCTAAGGGATTCTTTTTTCTGGCCCTCAGATGCTGCATTACCTTAACACCAGGGCTGGCCAACAGTGGGGCTAGGCATCCCCTAAAAAACACACCCCACGTACATACACACACTATACAGCCACAGCTAACTACCAACAGACAAGAGAGCAGCACCTTTACAGTCTCCACATACACACCAACAAGACTCACATAAACATACAAATGGGCTGACCCTCTTCTCACTCACAGGCTAATCAGACTGAAAGCTTGCTAGCAGATCTCCCACCCAAACACACGCAAACAGGTCCCTCCAGTAGCTGTTCCAGACTGGTGGTCTCTTCAGCAGGTGGCTCTCAGACCCTCGATTCCTCCACTGTCCCGACCTATGGTCTCTCTGGTAGCTGGCTCCCACACCTCTTCTCCCGCTCACCAGTTAGTCCAGCTTTAAATTCATATTAGAATCACACATACAGATGGGTCCCTTCATCAGCAGCTGTTAGATGATCAGTCTGTTCAATAGCTGGTATCCAGACAATCAGCCTCTCCTTCCAACCCAAAGCATTCTATGATTCTAAGGTTCTATGATTCCAGCTGCTAGCCCTCAGACCTGCAGGTCCCTTCGACTCTTGGTCTCTATCTCCAGTTGCTGGCACTCAGACCACTCACTCTACTCACCAGCTAGCCTGGCTTGAAATTTGCTAGCAGATCATACACACACACATGCACACATAAGAGAGAACACACTCAGACGCACATTCAATTATTGAGTTTAACAAGAAGATAGGACACACTGTGATGATCAGGCACAGGGCATAGCCTGACAAAAAATACTGACAGCAGCTTGACTGCATGCAGCTGACTTATTTTATCCCCTCTCTTCCCCATTATCCCATGCCTGTTCTTCCCCCATCTATCTTGATCCCTCCCTTTGACTGTCTTTGGCTCTCCCCTAAACATCCCCAAATAAGTTTAGCACTTTCCCACGTCCCTTAAAACATCCCACAGTAAGCTTTATGTGATCCTACAAGCCCTCTCAAATATCCCACTGTGAGTTTGCTCTTTCCCCACGAGATCCATGATAACCAGTTACAGAGCTCTGGCTGAACCTCCTAACGGCATTGATTGGGTCCTTCGAGGTCCCATCAATCAGTGATCTAAGAGTTCTGCTCTTTGTTACTGTCCTGTTATCTCCTCTTCCTTGGGGTCTGGGTATCTCAGAGTTTAATTTATTACTTCTCCTGTCTCTTGTTTTAGTCTTTTATGCTGAATAACCAGTAACCAGATATCCTTACATTCCACATATCTTTAGAGGAACGTGAAAAAAATCCTGATCAAATTGATCCTTTTTAACAGATAAATTCATAGTTGGGACAGAGCCTGGGTTGCTGTTCCTCTACAAAGTTAACATGACTGCTTGAAACACAACACTATTCAACCTGTGTCTGGTTAATTTAATTCAATCCAAGGTAGTGAGACCACAGTTCTGAGAATATCTAGTCTCTATACTCACTCAGATTTGAAATATCAAAGAGATAGGGACATCTAAACAGATTATAAACAAAGAGATTGTACCTTTTGAAAGTAAGAGTCCCAAACCAATCTTTGAGCTTCTCTCTGAGTCTCAGAAAACACTCTACCTAACAAATGCTGGTGAAACCCCAGTTTTGGAGCATAACACTTGGGTACTGCAGCGAAGTCCATGCTGAAGGACACTGGTCAACAAATTGCCTATGTGGGGAAAAGTCCAGGACCCAGCCTATGAAGTAGAAGCCTTGCCATTGCCTGCCACCAGAACAGGATGTTATTCTTTCTGTAGTCAGGAAAACCGTGGGATTTTTTAGTGATTTACAGTCAAATGAACAGCAGAAGGAAATGCCCTGAACTTTGAGTTGTGTTCTGGTCCTGCAAACCTCAGTGCACATCATGTGAATCAAGAGCAAACAAGATTTGTGAGAATCCCTGAGCAGCAATAGGAGCTGCTTTTTTTAAGGCACATGTCACCTAGCAACAGGGAAAGGGTACATATCAATTGGCATTAATGATGGCTGCTATGGGACGAAAGCAGAAGCTCAAACATTGGCCCGGCAGCAAGTACAATTAGGTTGCCCTCTTATTGCAAGCTCCACAGCACAGATACAGGAGATGGCTGTTGATTTATTTTCCCTCAGCAGAGGAAGAGCTAGGTGAAAAGTACATAAAGGAGGAATTATGCTATGCTGTGCAAAATTTCTGTTTGGTTTGAAAGCATGTGAGCCAAGAAAACAATCACTGGGTAGTGCAACGGGAAGAGAAGGGGCACAACAGGCAACATACATTGCTATAGCTATTACTCACCAGATTATTTATTATCCATATACAGATATTATTCATGAATTGGGAAAAAGCAAGGAAAGGACTCAAGTAAATCAAGTGACAGACTATCGAGGCTTACCAGCATGAATTCTAGTAGGGTTCAGGAGCTCCCAGCCTTTCCTGCCATACACGTAATATTTATGTCTGTTATTAACGCCTCCATGCAAAAACAACACCAGGCTTATTTTAGATTCTGACTTAAGCTTATAGAGAGGACAGATGACAATCTACTGATTAATTTATAAGTCCAAGGGCTCATCATGTTGTTGATTTCAATATATCATTTGGACAGATTTAGTGGAATGTAAAGAGACACTGTTGTTTTACCCTCAGAAGAAGCCAAAGACTTGAGCATCTGGCATTTGAAATCTTTTAGTCTTAGATTCACTTCAACTGCTTTTGCAACTGCCTTTTGCATTTTCTTCAAAAGATGACAACTGGCCAACCTTGGTCATCACAGACCACCAGAAATTTCCAAACACTGAAAAAAATATTTTAAAAATTCCCCCCTCTTCAAGAGTACCCATTAGCAGGAATTGGAAATGTTTTCATTAGTGACACCCACTAAAGTACATCTAGCACAGATGCATGGACACCCGTAGATATCCAATTCGCACTTGTGCTGCTCTCCTGATGACATAAGGTGTAGAAGGGCCTCAGCTAGTGCCACTCAGATCTTTTGTAGTACATAATACGGATGAGAAAAATCTGTGCTACTAGGAAGGGAAAAACAGGCTTAAGGTAACCTTATGTGTGTTTTATCTCAAAGAACAATGGACACTGTAAAATAAACTTTTTCTTCTTTTCATACCTACGCACATGGATCCTGTGAAGTGATTAGCCAGAAGTTCGGTCCTATGGACTTACCTGGAACTATATCCAATTAAAATTTTGGTGAAAACCACCAAAAAATCCCAACTATCCACTTAGAGCCCTACAGTTAACTGGTAGAAGAAATATTCTAGAGAGGCTTTCAGAAAACTCAGATATATTTGTACGCTACCATTGTACTTGTATTATAAAAAAGTACATGGTCTCAACAGTTTTCTAAAACCAGAAGGTATTAAATGCTATTCAAGTTCATTCTATTCCTTTATGACCATCCTCCAACCTACTGATAGTAAAAGTAAAAGGAAAAGCAGAAGGTTGCTTCCACTGTTTGCAAGTCCTAAAAAAGGCGTCAGGTGACTAAGATAGACATAGGTCAGAAAAACCCAGCACAGGAAAATTCATTTTGCTACATCCCAGATTTTCAGAGGCACCCAAATACTGTTTTGTCTCACACAGCAGCACCTCAGCAGATAATTCTTTCTTTTAAGGCCCTGCTTTCAACAGGAGTTTGGACCGGATGATCTCCAGATGACCCTTCCAACCCAGACTTTTTTGTGATTCTACGGTTCTTCAAGCTTGGGAGATGCAAAGCTAAGACAAAACTGTTACTTCACAAAGGAATCTTTATTTCTATTTTGTTATATACCTTTACAACTTTGACCCCAAGTCCCTCACCAAGTGTAGGTCACTTGATACAGCAGAAGGTTTCCTAGTCAATAGCAGTAATGGTGCAGGTAGGTTGGAGCCTTTAAGTATTCCCATCTTCTGGAACTTGCTGACCACTTAGCTCTTTCCCCCTATTTTGTCATATTTAGGACACCTGTTCTGGTTTTGAAGCTTTTGCACTTAATATATTTATCTCTGATAAATGATGAGCATCTCTGATGCTCATAACAACTGACTTCTACATTTATCAATTACCATGTTCATTGTCCTTAGTATGACATCCAGCCACTTTGTCTCTTCAACACATTGAAAATTATAGGCATAAGCCAGAAAACGAACACAAGTCAGTTCATGGTTCAGCAAAGAGAGCTGAAAGCAAAGCATGTATCAGAAACTTCCCTCCTTCACTTGTCTCAGAATTCCTGCAGTTCAGATGGACCCAGGGGGTTGATCTTACATATATAGCTAGAGGCAGCCAATAACCCAATAAGAAATATTTTCAATCCTTTAAATTACAGCTTTACATTTTATGTACTGCTAAACATTTATTCTCCTTTTTCCTCACGTATATTTGATACCTCAGCCATAAAGAAAGAAATGGTTAAATATTAGAAACAGGAGCTAAACTTCACATGCTGCATACCATAGCAGAGATGCACAGACATGCATAATGCAATTCATGTATTGTAGGGCACATTAAGTCATCATATCTGTCTTTGCAAATACTACATTTGTGTATATACCAGTAACAAATGATAGATGAACAGTGGTTCAAAACCAGAGGCAACTATTAGGCATATCCTAACTCAAAACTCTGCTTGGGTTTTGACCCTTAGTTCCTAAAGCCACCCTGCCTCACATCAAAGAAAACATATTAAATCACTTTGCATCTCTGAGATTCAAAGTATACAATACGTCATAACTCTGAGGAGCTTTATACTAATTTTTCAGTTGAAAACAAACAGATTTACAATTTGTGGAGGTGCTGAACAGAGCCAGTAAGGTCTGATGAGCTCCATGTGCTGTCCATTCCCAGCAGGCCTTAGCTGGCCTATTTGCATGAATTAGTGAAGGAGAACAGAGAGGAACTTTTTAAAATCAGCTGCTTCTCTTAGCTGCTCAGCTCTGTGGGTACATAAAATACACCTGCATCTTGGGGTAATAAAAGTGCTTAGAATTAACTATATCATATGACCAATAGGAAGAATTTTATTTGTAAAAGAATGGAGACCAACTTTCTTTGAACCTTGCTGTTGAAGAGAGAGGCTCAAGGAAAAAATAAAACCGTATGTTGGGTGCTGAGCTTGTTTTTGACTGTGGTTACCTTTTTGACTATGTATCTACTTGCCCTTAGAGACCATCATCAATTGTAAGAGCTGCAAGTTTGCCTCTCCCTCAAGAGGCATCTCAAATGAAATGGTACAGCCTAATTCAGCAGTTGATTTCTTTTGGCAGCTATGAAAGAAAAGTCAGAACTTTAATTTAGATGCCTGTGAAGAAATTAAATACCAGTGAAGGTACACGAGGGTACCTATAGTGTAATTATACTGGGATCACATATGGTTTATGAAGTCTTGAAATAAGGAAGTGTGAATGCAGGTGATTCTGAATTGCTCTTTAACTAGAAGTGTCAGTCTTGTGTGGGCAAGGGAGGGGAAAAGAGCAGACGGTCGTCAGAAGGTACTTCCTGTGCTGGCTCGGCTCAGCATACCACCGTATGCTTCTCGAAGTTCCATATTTCAAGACATTTCCTAACAAATGTATTCTTGCACATATTTATACTGCATATGAATTTATGAATCCCCACGGACAGCCTGGAGGATTGCAGATCCCACCCCCATCTCAGATTTATAACTAGTGATAAATTACTTCTGGGTCTTTATTTCCCTCTCGTGCTAAGTGCAGATGGTGCACAGTTTGGCACTGGCACAACAGCAGCGCAGGCTGTGCCTGTGCAGCGGTGATTTTCCTAGTTACCCCTGAAATCACAGAGATGAGGATATGGTAACTTGGGCTGACTGTGAAAAGGGGCACATAGGAGAAAGTTTGCAAGTAATGTATGAAGTAATGGCTTTTTCCCCACAGTTTTCCAATATATAACAGCAAAATATTCTCATCTCCTTAGTATTATCTTGACAATGAATAATCTAGTCTTGTTTTGTACAATACTGTTCTCTTAAATCACTATTGCATTATATGATCTCACAAGTCGGCTACAAAATTCTTGTTCAGAACCTCACCAGCTAACAAGCACTAGAGACACCACTGTGCATGCATGTATACCTATTCTGTCTCTGTATACTTGATTGTCAGAAAAGGTGATACTCACTTTGGCCTTAACTGAAACTATACAACCCTCTATAAGCCTGTATTTGATAGCATTATTCATACAAGGGATACATGGTAACCTTTGAACTGTATAGGATCAATAAATTGGCATTGTGGCCTGATCCTGCCCTCAGTCTGGGATAAATCTAAAGTAACTCCACTGGAATCAATGTATTTATTCATTGATTGACATGACATGGAAATTGAGTGCAATTTAACTTATAAATAAGTTAAAGAATCACTGAAGGCGTGAAAAAGCTTCTGTGTGCAATTATACAACAATTTTCATATGAACAGGCCAAAAGTGAGGCACAGGCCCTTGAACTAAAATTACCTTGGTGATTAGAAAAGAAATGATCCTTACCTGGTTCTTCTAACATGCAAGTCACATCTTCATATTCCAGGTTATGAGGTAAAACTCAGAAAATTGTATGTAATTAATTTGACAATCTAAACAGTCAGCTGCTGTACTCAAATGAAAGATATACATAAGTACATTGTATACAGAAAAACTGGCTTGGAGATACAAAATTTTATGTTTGTTCTCTAAAGTAAAAGCAAGACATTTGGGATTATTGAAGTGCAATGCAAGTCTTTGAAATTCCCGTGGTTGCAAAACTGCAAAAATGGCCTGTGGCCACGAGAGGGCAGAAAGAACATTCCTTGTAAAGCTTGATTTTGGGGAAAACCATGTATTCCCTTACCGAACCTGGGCTGTAAATTGCGGTAAGAGGCTGCTGGAGGAGTTAGGAAAATGCAAACTACACAGTTAGCTTTACAAAAGCTATCTCATGAACTTTCAATGTTAACAAAGTCTGGTCATATTCAACTTTCCATTTTTAAATAACTATTCCTAGAACAACTAAAATAAAAAAAAAATCATGATGGCATTTGACGTAAAGCCTGAAAAGAACATTTCTTGAAGTGTGTATTAAGCTGTGTATCAATGCTTTCTAACTTTTGCCTTTCAGCACTGGATTAAGGATAAGAATATGTAACATTTCTCACTTCAATAAATAGCTTGCTTTGGCTCTTTTTGGATCCGAATGCATGTGTAGTTCTCACATCATCACAGCTGTCAAAATCAGTGAGAAGTCCAGAGAATGACATCTCAGTCCTCTTCACTGAAACGCTCACATCCCTCTACTTTCTCCACCACAATCAGGGGAAAAATATGAATTACAGAAATTACTTTTCTCTTTATTTAGCTGAGCTGGCCTCATCTTTTCTTCAGCCCGTTGCCATGTAGGTAACAGAAACACAGCTTTAATCAGGTAGAAATGATCTTTCTATTTTCTGTTTCCACTGGCTATGTCACATTACACCACATGAAGCATATTCAGTTCAGCATGGAGGGGGTACTGGTTTAATAACTGCCACTGCAAATCTTCATCTTTTCTGCATTAGTCAATGGGAAGGTTAAAAGAGCTCTGACCTGAGATCATACATATACCAGAGCCAAACACAAATAACTGCTTTATCTGTCTGTCTAAGCCATCAAGTGACTTTATTCCCTGGGAGCTGAATATTTTGCCTAACATAACAGATTATGTTTCCAATTCAAGAGGTGCCTTGTTGCAAGGCTCCTTCTTCTTTTTGCCCCAGAAAAAGGGATAGTTTTCTTTATCCCACTTTCCACATAACTGCCACAGCACGGGGACATAGCCCTTGGTTGTGTGATTGTAGGAGCAAGCAGTCAATAGGGTACTGGGGTAAAAGAGGAAAACTGTGGGCAAGCTCTCAAGAAAAGCCATAGAGAGGTAGAAATGGAAGGACTACATGGGGAACTCACTGCAAAACATCTTTAATATGCTTGAGTAGATAGCTTAGTAAAGCTGTCAGGCTTGTAATTGTCATTTTTAGGATTGGGTTAAGGTCACTTTTTCTTAGGCCTCCTGCATAGCCTGGGAAGAATCCTTAAATGATCATGCTTCTTAATGCCACCTCATTTTGGCTTTTGTCTTCTAACTTCCACAGCATTTCAGGAATAGAACTGGTTGCGAAAAGCTTATTCTCTATATTCTTCACAATGCAAGATGGGACCAAAAGCACAAGAATGTTTGAAAAGCCTTTAAAACACACATATACAAGTCTACGGGCCCTGATGGCATGAGTGCTGAGGGAGCTGGCTGATAACATCTCAAGGCCACTCTAAACCCTGAACAATCATGGCAACTGGGAGAGGTGTCTGAGGACTGGAAGAAAGCAAATGCCATTTGTATCTTCAAAAAGGGCTGAAAGGAGACTACAGGCTGGTCAGCTTCACCTCCATCCCTGGGAAGATGATGGAACAACTCATCCTGGAAACTACTTCCAGGCACATGGAGGACAAGAAGGTGATTGGGAGTAGTCAGCTGTCGTGGTTTAGCCCCAGCCAGCAACTAAGCACCACGCAGCCGCTCACTCACTCCCCCTACCCCGATGGGATGGGGGAGAGAATCGGAGGAGTAAGAGTGAGAAACACTCCTGGGTTGAGATAAGAACAGTTTAATAATTGAAATAAAGTAAAATAGTAATGCTAATAGTAACAGTATAATAATGATAATAATAATAATGATACACGAAGCAAGTGATGCACAATGCAATTGCTCACCA